TATTTTCATTTTCAATTGTTAAATATCAATACTGTTCTTTTGTAGAGGCATTATTTATTGCATGTTTTTATCAGTCTTACTTGTGTATAGAACCTTATCCAGGAACCTAATATGGAGACAGTCATTCTAATGTTACTCCGCTGTGAATCCAGGTGACATTGAAAAGTGGAATGAATATTTCTAGTCATATTTTATTCCATAATAATTCTATATTAAATTGATTTTTAACGTTTATTTAATTTTTTATTAAAAATTTTTTGATTCAGATTTTGTGATTATTTAAGATAAAAGATATTAAAAATTATTACTTCGTTGTAATGCGTTTACATACTGTTGATTAAAATTTATATAATAATCTTAAATAATATAATAGTAGAAATAACTTGCAGCATATCAGTATTCGATATGCTCTCAGAATCAATAAATTGAACGAAATTTTTACTTCTAATAAAGACACAAAAAAAAAACATAAAAAGTTGAAACATAAACTGGTAAGTGAAGACTTCAGCTTTTTGAAATTTCAAAAATTATCGTAAAAGAATTTCACCTGAGTAACGTGACTACTGAATGTAATATCCGCTTGTCATAACAAAAGCTCTTAGCATCGACACAGAAATTCCAATTCTAAAATCTCTAAAAAGTCCAAAAAAATGCATGGAACGTATTCCCGGAATGGCACTGCATGCGCCAGCAAAACTTGACTAACAAGAAAACACATGTCGAAATGCTCGAGCTCAGTCGTGCGTAGTCAGTGGAAAACATGATTAAAAAATTGGAAACGTTTTGCTTAAAATTTCGATTACAACACATCCTTCATAGTTTTTGTTAATTTAAGTGATTTGTTAAATAAGACTTTGTTTTGTTTAATATTTTAGAAATTATTTAAAGAAATAAAAGCCACTTTTGAAAGTGGTTTCCCGAACTAGTAATGGAGAGTGGACAAAAACTTAAGTTTGTTCTTCCAGAAGTTTTGATTTTCAATTTATTTGTTCTATGTGAAATGACGAGTAGACAAAAAAACCTGTCATATATTATGGAAACTTTGAATAAAAATACGCTACACAGAATAGGAATCACTCTCCAATATTCTTTTCATAAGAGATAGTAGACTTTTGTAGAGATTCTTATAAGGATGACAGAATAGATAAAACAATTGAATATTGTTTATGTCACTGTTCTGCTCTCTATAAAAAATGGTTAACTTATTACCAGATTTCTATTTAAAGGAATTATCAGATGTGGGCAGAGTTGGTCTGTAGTTGGAAACCGTCTAGATCTACTAGAGGGTGTTAAAAAGGAACGGCAAATATTTGCTAACCTCGTTTAAAGAATGAAGAGAAGGTTGTGAGTACCAATAACTTTTGTCGTTAGATTAGAATCCTTCCATAAATGTGATGAAGCATTCTCTAACCTTCGTTAGAGAATGAATAATAAGCTAGTGGCAGAAATCACAACCGGTTTTTCGTTAATGTGAGTCCCACTGCTTTAGTAGTTTGGTAGAATAACTCAAATATTTGTACTGTATCCATACTGACCTATTTCAAAAAACAGAAAAACTTTGATGCTAAACTCTCTTTTATATTTACAGTTCCAGATACAAAATGGACAACTAAAATACTTATGTGATTAATCAAAACAGAGTTTTTTACACTATTTTTTTTATGTTTTTTTTTATTTGATATCGAAATTTTCCTTAACAATTGAATGTGACTATCGAATAAAAATCAAAAATAAATTTATCAAACTAAATAGATTTTTCTTATTCTTATCGGTTGATGCTCTCAATTTATTTCGTAAATTTGATTTTATACGATAAACTCCAATCAGTATATATAAAGTATATATAAAGAATATATATGAATATATACATATAACGTACTATTAATAAAGACATATTTTTTTCTGTTAATTTCAACTCGCATCTCTTAAATTTCCAAAGAATTTTAGAAAACTGTTCTTTTGTCTTTGTAAGAGTTTTGCTATTTTAGCAATTATCTATGTTTTTCGGAATACTTTTTACTTTCTCAAATGACTTTCTTTCAGCAAAGAAAACAGTAAAGCACTATGAATATAAATAAAAATAAAAGGGACTGATGGAGTTAGAGAAGTAATTCCACCTTATGTGGAGCAAAGCTGAGAGTAACAAATGCAATGTTATATGGCAAGTGGATCAGAAATAAGTAGTCTACTTGGTGAGTCAAGACAAGCGTGCAGAAAGTGTTTCATCGAAATAGAAATGAAGAAAATTCTTTCAACCAAAACCAGAACGAGAACGAGAACGAATGCAGTAGTGTAACAATGTAAGATATCAAAAAATGCTAGTAAATACAAAATAAATTAAAATTAAGAAAGAAAAATTGTTGAAAAAAAGCTGAAATTGTACTTAAAGTTCAACGAAATAAGTAACAAATTCCGCAACAATATCGCCACTCGTAGCAGCAACAACAGAAGCGCCACCAACAGCTGCAATTGGCCTTTTTGTAGGTTCTTTTTGCTGCAACATTTTCGGTTGCTTAAACTCTCAAATGAAATGAAAGTCAACTCGTGCATTGATAATACGAATTCATACGTTTCAACTCAACATTCTTGTCTGTAATGTTTCTTCTTTCAGTTTTTTTTTCATTCTTCTCAAGATTTTAATCATACAAATGCATCTAAAGACTGACTAATTCTCCATTGATATGAGCCTGAAATTTAGACTAACGTTTTTGATTTATTGTGTCTAGTGTACAAGAATTTTTGTTTCAATAAGTGTTTTGTTGTCATTTAATTTAGTTGTGGAACTAAAAAATAGTTTCTATAATATTTTTTTCAGCAAATAGTAGAAGCATATTAATAAAACTTCATTCATTGGGTTCATTCATTGGGTAATGAACACTGAATCTGAGCTTAAAATTTGGCAGGGTATAAGTGCACCCTTCACCCTTCATACTTAATTCTGAAAAAATATTTTACGAGCAATTAAATATAAGAAATAATTCTTAGATCACTGATAATAGGTATTTGGCAATACTCGAATCAGCTATACGGTCAAACAAACATTTAATTGATTCAAATATAATAAAATATTGTTGTTGCAATTCACAACTGTTAAAAGAACCTCTTTAAATCTGCAGTTATACTCTATATTTTTTTCTTCCTGCAAAACTATTTGTTTAAGGTTTTTAACATTAAAAATGTTGCTACAGAGTTTTCGGGAGAAATTTTTAAGCTGAAGAAATATTTTTATTATTAAATATCTAACTCTACAAATCGAACTTATAAAAAAGCTAGATAACTGAGATTTTTGAACCCTTCTCCAGGAATACCAACCTGACTAACTATTTAATCCCTTTCTATTCCATTAATTCTATTCTATTCCATGAACAATTAAGTTTAGTTAATTAGTAAGCAATTGCTTACTTTTTTGTAAGCACTGAGTGCATTGATTCAAGGTGAACATACTTGGCTTGAAGAATTAGGTGCACTTAATATGGATTCCGCGGCATGCTAATATCTAAGGCAATGAAACGGCAGACAACCTTGCAAGTAGAGACACGGCTTTAATAATGATAGGCCCAGCACCTTTCTGCGGTCTAGGCAAAAGGAACTTTATTCATTCTTTTGAACGTCGCGAATGAAAAATAAAGGGAACTCTATAGGGAAATCTACCAAGTCTATCACAATCTGCAATGCCTTTAGAGACTTACAACCTAAAACGTTTTAAGAACTGCATAGAACAAACAAAGAATAACCTAAGATCTATAGATTGTAGATTGAATAATCATCTAATAAAGTCAGGAATCCAAACCAGACTCAGTACTGACAAAGCAATCCATTAGCTACTAAGATCTATAGATTGTAGATTGAATAATCATCTAATAAAGTCAGGAATCCAAACCAACTCAGACTGCAACTACTGTACAGAAAAGAGAAACCGCAATCCATGTGTTAGCGTAGTGCCTGGTACTGAGGCTCAAACGAGAGAAACACCTAGAAGTATATTTTATGGTCATAGGGATTGAAGGCTAGTACAGATAAACCGTACAGTCTTTCATTAAAAAAATTGGACTTAGAGAAACACTCTAAACCGACTAAGGAGTACAATAGATCTTTAAGATAACAGTGTACTATCCCTTTTTCATAATAATAATAATAATAAGCAAATTACTTTTCGTTTTTCCTTTGTCTTACTATTCGCTAATCTCTATACGTTGAAGTGTAAACACATAAACTTTTGTTAAGCAGAAATTGCTAACTCACGTAAGATAAGTTCAGCTCTAAATATAGTATATGAAATTTAGTTCTAAGTAATGAAAAAGTATAACTCTGAACCATATGGACAAGCGAATTTAAAATAAAAAACTGGATTTTTGGCTTTTCATTGGTATTACAGTACATTAAGTATTAAAATTTTAATGATGAATACGCCAACATTTCTTAACAAACCTATTTATATATATCAAATATGCTTAAGCGTGAAATACTACAATGTATTAACCTGTAAACATTGAGAGCATATGATAGTAAATTTTGGAAGAAAAAATCAATTATTTTCGATGTCTTTTTGTTCTACCGTTTGCTAAGCTCTCCAAGCTGAAGTGTAAACACTTAAACATGTTTTGAACAAGATTACTGACTCAAATTTTATAACCAGGCAATATATTAAAACGCTGCTAAGAAGTTTATAGTTTACAGAAATCAGGACACTAGTGTAATTAGTGTTTCGACTATTGTACTCTATAACTCTATAAATATGCAACAATATAAGTCTAAGTTAAGACAGAGCTATAATTACAGTTCCTTAATCGGTTTAGAAAAGTATGAGTACTTTTTTGAAAAAAAATTTTTTGCGGTTCACCAATCTATCAAAGCAGCAAAAAGGACAGCAAATAATAATGAATACATTTTATTTAATACAATTTTCATATATATAAGATTCAATTTTGTGTTTATTTTATTTTGTAAAATTTTTTTATTTTAATTTATTTCAATTTATTTTAAATAGTTTAAGAAGCAATTAAATTTTTATGCAAAAATCCACGAAAAACTTTTAATGTTATATATTTAATGTATTATATAGCCGGCTACTAATATAATACTAAGAACGATTAGCATGACAAAATCAAGGAACAGCTTATAACATCTACAGCTGTTACTGCTAATATTATGTAGGCGTATGACTTCATCTTCCGCAGCTTTAAGGTTGCGTGCAGTATTAAGAAATTTCCTCCGCATATCCATGGTACCTGCAACCACGGTGTTTATTATCTTTGCATTTTCCTTGACTGCTCGCTGCAGGGTTTGAACGCAATCATGATCCTCCGTCATCACCTGGCAACCATGTTCGCACATAGTTCCGGTATTAGGCATTTCTGCAATAGTTTCTGGTTTGTTGGTGGTCTTTACATTCACTAATGCATTCCTTCCAACAAAACGATCACAGCTGGGACACTTAGAATTCATATATTCTACATAAAATAATATGCAATGACGGCAGAAAATATGTCGACAGTGGGTGATGAGAAGTTCATCCATGACACGATTTTTACAAATACTGCATTCCATGGTGTTCCGAGATTCCGGGATAATTAGCTGCAAATATTGTTTATGTGAATTTTGTTAATAACTAATAAATTTTTTTTTCAAGACTTCTCTCAAAGATTTATGACTAAAATATTAATTTTGACCAAACTCTATTGTTCTTAAAATAGAGTTTTTTAAATTTTTGAATTAAAATTCTTAAAGAAAAAAATTTGTAATAATAAAATCTAGATCTTTTTATTCAAATAAATTTTTTGTGTTCAGGATTCAAAAATATTTGATTAATATTTCCAAATATACTTAAATGAAGAAATAATTAAAATATTTAAAATAATACAAGCAATCATTTTTTCCCTAATGCGGCTTGAGGTTCTACGAATGCATTGATCGAATATGGTGGTCTGCTAAATAATCGTTGACCACATATTTCATATGTCATATCACATTTCACGATAGATGTTCGGCTAATCCGAAAGTTATCGTATGTTGTGTGTAATTATAAATAATTATATAAAAATTATGAATAATTATATAAAAATTCATGGGGTGTTTCTACTTTTTCGGCATAAATGTGGAAAACGATTTATTATATAGGATTGGTAGGGATGAATTTTCAATATTTACCGCTATACAGGGTGCTTAAAAGAGTGTTACCAAAAAACAAAGCATGCAATCAAATAATCATCAAAATTCCACTAATTCAAATAGCTATTTAATTAAGTAGCACTTTTTAATCTATTAAACACCATTTAGTTTAATACTTCAATTGGTTCAGAATATATTATAAAAGTTAAATTAAAATTTAAAATAAATTGCACAAAGTCAGGTTCTGAGAGGACTTTTTAAAGTACCATTATACATTAGGACGAATGACATCCTCAGGGACCTCAAGATTGATCCCTTCAAAAAATACACAAAGAATAGAGCCCTGAAATTATTTGCGAAAACTGACAGACTTACCAACACCGCGTTATCAAATCTCAGAATGGTTACAGGCTCCTCGGGGAGGTATGCAGATCTGAGATCAATAATTGCTTAGTCTGATGAAGTGATAAACAATAATCCAGTCAAGGCGTAAAACCCCTCTTGTTTTGAAAGAGTAAGAAAGAGTAAAAGTGCTCAAGTGCACTAGCTCAAAGAGCTTCAACATAATAAAATACATTTTTTTTTAAATATTTTCCGTCCAATTTTTTAATGTTATTGTTTATTGTCTTAAAAACATTTTTTCCTGAAGAATTGTCTTTCTATAGCGTGTCCATTTATCATTCTTTGAGACTACTACTTAAAGACACAAATTTGTCTAAACATGTTAATAATTATTTTTCAACGAATGTTTGATGAAAGTCTCTTTAAAATAATGAACAAAAATCCAAATTGAGACTTTGCATTTGAGTTTTATTGAATGGAATTAGAAATCATTACAATCGATCTTCACATGCCTATATATATAGTTTGTGAACACAATTAATATTTATATTGCCATCCTTTATAAAAAAAACTTTTAAAATATAAATGGTGGTACAGATACGAATGGTGTTTTGAGCATTAAATTTGTAAACAAAAACATATGATTTCTTTAATTGGGGGCAGTATTAACTTAATTAACCAAATTAATTTAATTTCATTTTAACTAAATTAAGAAAATTTGACTGTATGAACATAGTATAAGCCTGGTGATACTTAATCATATCGTGCTATTAGTTAGTTTCGAAATAATGTTAATTATAACCTCCTATCTTCTCACAAGATTTAAAGCATAAAATACAAACATGTTGCAGATTGGGTGACATAAATATCATGTAAGATTCTTTATTAGTGTTCGAAATAAGAGAGTTACTGAAGTTTGGTGATAGTTTATTATATTGTGAGCCCAGTTCCGACATTCTGTTGATTAACCTCCCACTACTCACATGTTTCAAAACACGTCATACAAATTTATGGATATAAATTAATTTAGCCCATATGTTTAAATAAGATTATCGATTATTTTTTTATGGTTCCTACCTAATCCCATAATTCAATAATAGAACCATTTTTTTTAGATTTTCTTGAATTTTTTTATTAAAAATATTTCTCACGTTTTTCCTTTCATTCTACTTAAAATTTATTACCCAAAAACATTTTGTTAAGGCAGCAATCTTCATCTTAATTTTCCCACAATTCATTTGCCAAGAAAATATATTGCATCCTCAATTACACTCTTAACATAGAAGTGACACATTTAAATTTTGCACTACGGCAAACACCAGTAGACTTTTGTCACTTCACTCAATCCGAACATTTCAGATTATACCATGAAAGGCACTTTTATCAAGTGAAACGTAAATCACCCAATTTATTGTAAATAAAAATATATTTCACCACACAAGACACACACATACCGCACACTTCCCTGAATAATAGCATTTCGCATATGGCCCGCCATTACCGCAATGACTTATCATGGAGAAACAATCTTCAAATGACTGTCAGCAGAGTAAATGACATAGACTGGCTAAGTCGGTGGCATAGAATGGCGAACGCTGCAAAAGTATTTCTAAAGATTTTAGCAAATAAATCTGCATGCAAAGAAGTCGAAACAAGACTTAAACTGAAACTCTCGAAACCGAAAATCATAAAATGATACTAAAAATGTTAAGAAAGAATTTCTTTTATATGAAAATTCCATTTTCCGAACTGACATTTTTCACTTTTTCATTTACAGCACCAGCAGCGGCAGGCGAGAATGTCTCCTCCACAGCAACAGTAGAATCAACGGCACGGGAATTCAATGGCAGTGCTGAGGAAAACTTACCACAAGAAAATCAGCAACAGCAACAGCAGCTGCAGGCACCTATGTTGAACGATAGCGGCGAGCAAGTGACACAATCGCGAAATCCCATCAGACGTTCGCTTAGTGAAAGGCAGCAGCCTTTGTACAATAAACTTACAACAAACAGCGGCTACAGCTTAGATAGCTCCATGGACCGCAATAACACTGGGAATAGTAGCTGCAGCGTAAATAGAAGCCTTCAAAGCAGCAATAACAACAACAACAACGCCCACGATAATGTTGACGCCATTTTAAATTTTAAAGATACGATGGCATTGCGTTTAAGGAGTAACCGCAATGACTCTAGAGATTTATTTGAGCAAAACTTAGCGAGCACTGTCAACAATACAAATAGACCGAAACAACCCCCACCACCGCCACCACCAACAGTACCAGTACCAGCTCAGCTAATAGTAACGGAAGGTATTGTTGAAGAAGCCGCAGCACATGCAACTGCTGCTGCTGCGGTTAACGAAGTTGCAAGAAAGGAATTCACAGCAACAACAATGTCGAACGCGGATGCTTTGCCATTATCGCCTACGGGCCAAACACAACAAAACGCTGTAGATAAGGACATTGCAGCTGCGGGTTTAACGACGTCAGATGCTAATAATACGCAAACAACAACAAATCTAACAAGTGGAAGTAACATAGAAGCTGTGAACGGGTTCAGCAGTCAAAAACAACAAATTCAATGTAAAAATGAAAGCGTTGCATTCCAGCGCCAGCACCAGCTCCAACAGCAACATCACCAAGCAAACATAACAAACCAAAGTAACAATAGCACGAATGATAGTACATTCTGTCAAGAAATCAATAAAGCAAACATTAATGATAAGAAGGAGAGCAAGCAACAAACAATTTTGCAAAATAATTACCCACAACAGCAGAACGACAACAATACTCCAAATAAAACCACAAACAGACCCACAAGTCTATTTTCAACAAGCACCCCAAAAACGACAATGAAGCCCAATGGTGTGCAGTCTTCGGTTTTTACTCCACAACAACGCACCGTAGTGCGTGTGGCACCATTTAATAAGACCACATCGGAAGTACATCGACTGAAAATAAGTCATACTGATGCTGATTCTAATTGTGCCTCACCAACATCGCCATTCGGTCATCAATACAATGTGAACGGATCACCGCATGGCAATGCCTCCAATACATTGATTTGTGATATGTACGCACAAAGGAAAACTTCAATTTTAATTAATGGCGATGATTGCTACTCCACTATGAATTTGAGCTGTGATGCTTCCACACCACTGTACCAATCATCGGTAGTAGTGGCGGATTATAGCTCAGCGGTAAAGTCAACTGATAATACAAACGGTCATGCAGCTTACGATGGTCTTAAAGTAACTACCACATCAAATACTGTGACCATCAATGTCAGTAGTCCACGCAGCGCCGAGGAAGAATTAATCTATCAACACAATAAAATCAATACAATGTTAAGCCGGCAGGCAAAGTCTGTCGGTGGTAGCAACGCTGGGTTAACTAGACGAGCAATCATACCAATTAAAGGCACAACAGAAGTGAATCTGCAACGTTCAGCATCCTCTACATCATCTACATCGACAAGCTCAATTACGAGCACAAGCAGCAGTGCTAGTGGCAGTGGTAGTGGCAGCCACAGTGGTTCAATACCGAAACGTGGTCGCACACTGATAAGGCTGGATTATGAAAAAGAAAAGCCGCAACAACAACAACTGCAACAGCAGCGCAAAGAGGAAACCACATTAGCTGCCAACACCGAAACTGAAACAACAGCGTCACTAGTTTCGCATGAGCAAGAGTTGTTGAAAATATTGCGAAATCCCGTAGAAGCCGTAAAGCGAAATTTGGTGCCACATGTTTGTGGTCGTTACGAAACGCAGAGTGAAAGGGAAAATGTGCGGAATAAAAAAATGAAGGAAGCTGTTATAGAAACGACAAAAAATCTTGGCAAGGAACAACAACAAGAAAAGTCCTTGGAATCTCCTGATGCGACCATTTTACGGTCGAAGTCTAAACCACCCGAACGTAGCTCGTTTATTGCGAAACTGCTTGAAGATCCTATGCTCAGTCAAGTAGCGGATGGACTGGAAACGGAAATTGTAGCTGAACTAATTGAAAATTCACTTAAGCGTTTAAAGGAGTCACGCAGTGCAATTGATATATCTGGTACCAAAGACAATGATGACGTGAATCGTTTGATTAATTTATCGCTGCAGAAAATCAAAGAGGAACGTCAAGCAACAGCAACTCAAACTGTGACAACAAACAATGACGACAGCAATACACATTTGACAGTGCCCACCAAAGATGATGATCGCCATTCGAATCGTGGCAGTATTAGTTCTGCTAACAGTTTTGCTTCAGCTAATAATTACGAAATGTTTGATTTTGATGCAAATGAATCTGATTGCTATCAAAGTTGCTCGAGCGAAATTACATCGCCAGGTGATGACGACTCCAGCTCAGCCACCACACGTTCAAAATTCTATCAGATGCTGGTAGATGCGACTTTAGCAGAAATTGAACTCTCAACGAATATCGAAGACTTAGATGAACATCACTATGAATCGATTCGAAACAATGGTGATCCAATTTATGAAGAAATAACCGATGTGCCGCCACCCTTGCCACTAACAGCACCACCACTCAGTGATGAATTGGATAAAAAAGCAGCACGTTCAATTTTTGAAGGCGCTTCAAAGTATGATATATTGTCTTATTTAGTAGATGCCAAAGAACGTGGAGTAGCGCGTGAGGAAACTTTTGACTATCCCTTGAATTGCTCTAATCCCATTATTATCGAAGAAGAAGCTTGTGATACACTAAGTGATTTAGGAAAACGCAAACAGCGTAAAGATATGAGTTCTCGTGCCTCTGTGGTCAGTGATTCTAGCGAAGATAATCAGAGTAACATGAGTTCGCTTTCACCACCACCAAATACCTTTATGTGCGGTAGTAACGTAAGTCTTTTACAACGCAAATGCGCCTCTAGTGATATTGAACGTAATGACTCTGGTGTTGGTTCCGAGACTAGCAAGAGTTCACGCAGTAAATATCAACATACGCCTATTGCAAATACAAATTTAGTGCCTAGCACTAGTCCAATACATCTTTGTGAAGATTGTGATGGTCCTGTTGAGACACAAGTAACTGATTCGGGTGTTATGTTTGCACCACTCGTGTGTCGCAAATGTGGTAAGAAACGTATTGAACGTAAAGAAATTATTACTGAAATTGTAGAAACTGAGGAAAAATACGGGCGCGATTTACAAATCATTTTGGAAGAATTCTGTCATCCCATGTTAGTGGCCGGTTTACTCACACAGGAGCAGCTCTCTGCAATCTTCTTAAATACGGAAGAATTGCTCGAGAACAATCAAACTCTTGCCGAACGTATGCGCGATGCTTTGGACATTGCTTTGGAACAAGGTGATGATGATCTGTTGACCGTGAATATTGGTAGAATATTTTTGGATTTCACACAAATGCTACACGCCTTTGAAAGTTACTGCGTGCGCCAGGCTGGCGCAAGTCTACTGCTTGCTAATTTAGAGAAGGAAAAGGAATTATTGCGTATTTTCTTGAAGGTGTCACAAATGGAAAATGCTGTTCTGCGTCGCATGAACTTAAATTCGTTTTTAATGGTAAGTTTTTGCATTTCAAAAAAAAAAAGACATTAATTAACATTTTTTTATTACCCGAAACAAGTACGGGCAAACCTAAGAAATTTTAGAACAGTAACGAGAGGAAGTTGTAGTGTTGAAAATGTAGGTGGGAACTAGGGTAGTGCAGGTTGTTGTCATTTTATTTGTTTTTTATTATTATTATTTTATTATTAATTTTTTTTATTATGATTTCTTTATTATTATTTCATTATTATAATTTTTTTATTTATATTTTTTATTACTATTTTTTTTATTACAATATTTTTATTGTGATTTCTTTATTATTACTTCATTATTATTATTTTTATATTATAATTTTTTATTATTATTTTTTATTACTATTTTTTTATTATTATTATTTTATTTTTGTTTTTATTATTATTATTACCTATAGGCTGTACATGTACTGCGACCTGTAAGATCTTTTGTGCAGACTCTTGTCCAAATAGTCAAATTCTAGACTTTTAAAGAATATTGTGATAACTGTGGGTCATATTTCAGCTTTAAGGCCCAAAGTCTTTAGGGCTCAAAAATCTACTGCCTAGTCAAGTCTGTGGCGCTAAAAACGTACTCTGCTATTATCTGTTGCTCTTGACAAAGTTAGCAGAAATCGGAGAAGCAGAATTTTGCCAGACCAATCTTTTTTAGGTGATATCGTCATCTACAGTGGCCTATTAGCAGTTCAGTGTAGAGTTTGATATCTGTTCTGCTTAAGTTAAGAATAGCTTCAGCCTTCATATGTTTAGGGATATTAATCCTCTTTGATAGCCATATGCCTTTTTGGGGTCTTCAGAAATCAGTTAGGCTTTGTTTTTTTCTTTCGCGTTTATTTATTATTATATTAGTTATTTTTAAATAAGAAGAATTACTAAAATCATGTAGTAATCATATAATCATTACATTTTTAATTTATAAATGTTTCATTAATACCACTAGGTGGAGATGGATTATTGCATACGTTACAAGAATTGCTTAGTACTCATTACTTAGTACTCAGATACAATTTAGAATTTTTTTATAAGTGGAAAAAGAGCAGAATACTATTTTTATAATAGAACTATTGAGAAGATAAGGTTAATTGTTAGTAAGCACTTTAATTCTATTGTATAAAAAACTAATATTAATATTATTTATATATTTTTCGTTAGCATGCATATTTATTTATCTGTGAGATATTACATCTTACTTATACCGATGAGTTCCTATATATATTCCTGAATACACAATGTTAATTGTTAGTAAGCACTTTAATTCTATTGTATAAAAAACTAATATTAATATTAAAAATATTATGCATATTTATTTATCTGTGAGATATTACATCTTACTTATACCGATGAGTTCCTATATATTCCTGAATACACAATTTTTATACTAATGCATATTTATTTTACTGTTAGATATAATATCTTACCTATACATATGGGTTCCCATATTCATTCCTAAACCCACAATTAAAATATAATTGCATGTCGAGGATTATTTTTCTTGTTCCTGAAAGATGCATTATCAGAGAAAATTGAAAACAAATTGTATTAGAATGAATGAATATTTCCTTGAAGCTTGAATTTTGTCCGATAAGTAACTTTATATTCTTCTCAACATTTTATTGCAATTATTTTAAATCCTCTTTTTATTGTTACAATTTTTATAAACTAGAAAGCAGCAAGTACTTTTATTATCAGTTTACATTGAAATTGCCAATCATTTTACTATTTAACCACTTAATGTTTTTAGTTTTTTTTATTTTTATTTTTTACATTCATTTACTGTGATACGACATTGTGACTTGGCTTAAACATTTTCTATAACATTTGTTGTTTAACTTTTTCTTTTGTACTTAGGTACCTGTTCAGCGTGTGACCAAATATCCACTCTTGTTGGCTCGCCTCTACAAAGTAACGCCGGCACATCTCGAAGGACGTGACATGCTTAAGCAGGCACAGGAGAAAATTGAATTGCACCTGAACCACATCAACCAAGAAGCTAAGGATGTACCAACGAAACTTTGGCGACGCATATCATCGTCGAGTCCAAATCGACGTGCTTCCTGCGAAATCGATATGATAAACATCAAACTACGCAAAATGGCCATTGACGTTCTCGAATGGAATCACGATGAAGTACGTTTTGCCATGGAGGGGAAATTACTCTATACACAGCCAACTGATAGCAATTGGAAGAAAGCGCGCACCATCAAGCTGACACCGGTGAATGCACTACTGGTTACAAATGGCAAGGTAAGACACTTACGCAACAGTTTGTAAGCAAATAGCAAAGTAAACCCAAATTCTGCCCACTCCGCCGCCCTAAATTGTAAGCTGCTTTAGTATAGAGGAAGGAGATGTGCTCTGAGATGATGTGCTCTTGGTTAAAAGTTGTTGGTTGTTATGCTTTGATAACAGCACTTAAAAATGATGGCACTCAAGTTTAGTGTTTGATTTTCAGTGTACGAAATTGGTAAACGTTTTGGGGCTTGTTGTATCCTTTTCTAGGAAATTTGATATCGAATGTTTGCATTAACTGAAAATAATGGATTTCAAAAGTTAACTCAAAATTCAGTTTGTAAATTGAAAAAGGTAAATGCGTAGTCGAGTAGAATTTCTAGGAATAAATGGGCAGCAAATAATTGAGTAGAGTTATCGGTGCGAGGAATTTATTACTAAACGGAAGAAATATTAAATTTTCATTTGATTTAAAATGATTTTATATAAACGATTTCCTTAAGCAGCACAACGGCTTCCTCTTAAGCCGTATTCACGTTAATAAAATCATGTACGTATATCCTTAGCAGCCTGACTGGCAAAAAACAATGAACAACGAAAAGTGTACCTAACATCCACTCAGCTTCATGTAGTTAAGTGTGCCAAGTAAGTGCGTATTTCGAAGTTTACAATAGTTTTTCCCTAACAATTGCTGCCGACATACACGTTTTCTCGTCGTCGTCATCGTCGTCATCGTCGGCGTTGTTGTTTTTTTACTTAGCAACGCAGTTTTCGCTTATTCACTCACTACACTATATAGTATCTTTGTATTTTCAACATTTTAACATTGTTTTCATTTTGTATTTTCTATTTTCTATGCTTTTTTACGCTATCTCTCAAATGCTGCTGCTTTTATCTGCACGGCAACATACACAAACGCACAGCCAAGTGCCAATTATAAGGCAGAAAAAGTCATGTCAGATAAACTGAATTTCCCAAAGCATACCGGAATCAGAGAGGCATCGTTGTTGGTTGTAAAGGAGAAGTGCGGACGTTATACACTGATACGTGAACCATTGTATTTGGACAGATGTGTTGTGTGCAGTGAAGCGGATTGGGATGATTATTTCGAAGTGCAGGAAATTTCATCGAAGGACACTTTTATATTCAAAGTGAGTATTATTAAATGCAACAAAGATTGAAAAAATTAACATTTTCAGATACTATTCCAAACACTATCATTCCTGGAAGTTAGTAAATTGGTTTTTCATTTTTCAGTTGGTGCGAAAAGTTTTAATCGTTACTATTACTAAAATAGTTACAACAGTTTGTTATCTTATAGAACGCAAGGCAACACAAGGTTTCCGATAGTTGTCCTTGGATGTCAAATGAAAGTAGCACAAAACGATATTTTTTTTTTGTAAAAGTTAATTTATTATATTTTAAAAATAAGGATTTTGATATATTATCCTTAAAGTTAGGTTATACATGTACTGCTGTTGACTAAAGTCGACATATACAGGTTAGGTTAAGTTAAACCGGTCAATAAGTTAGGCTTATTGGCTCATTATGTTACCGTATATATAGGAATAACTCAGGGTTTAAAACCACCTAAAACCTTTGGCGAAGCTCAAAATGCTGTTTACATACCTATTTAGATAATCATGTTACTCATTGCGTTTGCCATATTCTCAAATATATGTCGCATGTTTTATTAGCTGCATAAGAACTATTGATATCGATAACTATGGCTTGAAAGTTGAGAATATCAAACTGTGTTGATACTCCTGTTTGGTAAGGTTTGGCAATCCAAAATTGCTGTATATGTAGCGAAGATAATCCTCAAGCCTTTAACGAATCACCATGACATCCACTAAATTTTACTGTTTGCTGTGTGGTTTACACTCAGGAACTACCGTTACGATGAATGGCGAACGCTATCGTGTCATGTTGACTAAAGTTTTGTCATCACTTTCTAAAAATCAAACAGTTAAACATCGACAATATTTGGTTCCAGTTCCAACGAGACGACGCAACTTGCAAAACAGCAGTCGATTTAATGTGAAATCAATTCAGTAACAACTTTATGTTTAGAATTGGTCCTGTTAATTAGCACCCTCGATTACTTTTATGGGGCTATGTTGTCATTGGTTTATACCGAATAACAAGCAGCTCTTAAAGCATTAGAAGCCAATGTTCATGCCACCATGTACGTCGACGCTATATACATATATTGCAAAAAATAGTCAAAAATTGGACTGATCGAATGGACCATATAACTCGTAGCTGCGCTAGACATATGTCGGAAATCATATTCATAAAATAAATGCCATGAAATTATCTGCCAGATAAAGAACATTTTATTCCTACAATATTTCTCTCTTGCATTATCATTTTAAGTTCTCATGCAGCTAAAAAAACACCCAACAAATATAAATATATAATGTTAACTGATGTCATCAATAATTAATATGTTCATTGCTAAATTTTTCTTGTTAGACAAAAAGATATTCAGTCAATTCAAATATCACAATAGTTTTCTTACTCCATCAAGTCGTCTTTTTTTTTTTTTGGAATACCAATGAAATCTTGTCTGTTTTGAAACTTACAGGATTTTGTTTTGGAAACTTATTCCTGGCATGTTAGGTAGTTCGTGTTCTTAATGAACGGGTGTGGTCATGCATAATATAGTATCTATATACCTTAAGCCAATGCCATATCAAAACTATGGTTCAGCAGCCATTTATTGTTCAGCTCAGACTTCATTCAATCCGACCCTTATCTTTTTAAATCCTTTCTACAGCAGATGCATTTTTATCCAAGTACCACCGTTAACACCACTGTACTACAAGAATACTACTATTATCGTTATAGCGTGTTATAGTTTTGGATATAAAAGTCTTATTTACTCGACTTTAAGGTGATCAGTAATATAGTACTAATTCTAAAGCGGATAAAATGAGAAGCCTATCCTTCGCATACTTGTTGACAATTAAATTAACTATCTTTAAGTCAAATATGAACATAATCTTGCTAAAAAGAGATAAGGGTCACCTTGTACTACAGATTTAACTTATTCAGTGTGAAGAGATATTTTTACCCTTCTCTTGTGATGTTCGTGAATAAGTGTCTAAAGCATTTTTACTTAATAATAAGTGTGATCTATTAATTGATCCTGTACTGTAATCACGTGGGTGTTCCACTACTGTGATCACTACTACTGTCATCACTTGAGTGCTCTACTACTGTGATTACTTGGGTGCTCAATTATTGTGATAACTTGGGTGTTGCGCTACTGTACTCACTTGTATGATTTATTACTATAATCACATGAGTAATGCACTATAAGAAGTGCTCCACTTAATTATAACATTGAGTCATTTATATATATAAATGATATATTTATATATATAAATGATATATTTATATATATAATATATAAAAGTATATTCGGAACTCTAGCATGTATTCCCGATAGCATATAGATTGTATTGAGCATTGATTGAATTGATGGATCATTCACAGAATCAAGCAACTCTAGAGCTCTGATTTTGAAGCATTTTTCAACACTTTCGGTTTTTAAGTCTTTGGGAATATCTTCATTTCTGACAAACCATTGCAAAAATTAAATCAAGGACACGCTGTTAAGTTTGTATTTCTCAAACGGTAGATGAAACAGTACACGGAGTAGTTTAGGTCTAACTATTTGTTTATAAAGGTTGAATTTATTGTTCTGTAAGAATACAACTGACCCGTTCAACCTTATGAAAAAGTATGCGTTTGATTATTTTCATTTCTGCAATAATTAAATGCATACTTTATAAATTTAAATGGATCAGTTGATTTCTGATTTTGTTTTCCTAACAGAAGTATAGAATAATCTTATGTCAGTTAATACAAACATTGAGCTATTGCTTTGAATTTGTTTGTGTGCAAAATATTTGGTTATCGGATTGAATTTGTGTTGTTTGTGTTTTTATGCTGTACGTTAGAAGTAAGGGCTTTTATTGCGTGTTACTCTTTACATATTGCAGCAATACGATAACTAATTTAGTGTTAGTATTTAGTATTTAAAAATAGTTAAAGCAAAGATTTATTTTTCATACTTAACTTACCTTAAAGAATTGTAGAATTGTAGCTTGATAGACTTGTGCTACTGGTTCATGCTATTTAAAAATTCGATTTGTCATATTATATAAAAAGTTTGTTAGCGTCTCTCTAGGCATTTGATAAAAGCATTCAATAGTAAAATGAGTTCAATATTGAAATAAAAGAAGTAATAGTAATAATGGCTTTATGGGAAGCATTCAATGATAACAAAATGAAGTATTATCTCTCATTTTGTAAACGCAGCAGCAATTGAAATTGTTGCATTAAAAATGTGCGAAAATATTTCAATTCAATATGCTCAACTATTGAAAAGCTAGCACAATATATATCTATTTAGTTCTATGTGCATATAAAGTTAGATTTGTATATATGTATATATATGTATAGATTTGTGAGCATGCAAATGTTCATTATTTTCCTTACTTCCGTTTTACTGACTGTCAATTCAATTTACAATTTTTTCCAATTGAACAAAGTGTCTCCGTTGCTCTTTACGTACTTCTGATTTCATTAGAAATTCTTCGATTTCGATTTTAACTAAAGGATTTTCGATACCTATTCACTGTGCTTGTCTTTTGTCTATTTACAGGCTGAGGATGGCGTACGTACCAAGCAATGGTACACTCAACTGCAGTATCATGCACAGGGCATGGGCGCATGGCGTAAACGTCGCAACGCCTTGGCAAATATCATGATCAACGGCATGTTGGCACGAAGTTAAATGTATCCATCCAACAATTTCACATCCAAGATAGACTGCAATTTCTGCATGCCCCGATGAAAAAAAAAACTGCAACTATACTGCAACTTTTGGAAATTCAAAAAGGATTTTATGCATCACCGAAGGATGAGTAACGATAGCAATTCGCAATTGTAATTGCAATGCCAACGAACGAAGTTTATAAATGTAACAAAAAGCATCAAAAAAATTTTTAAATTAAAAAAAAAATATGTTAAATAAAATTAGTTTAAAATTAATTTTAAAATGAAAATTATTTGCATTTATTGCAATATGTGAAAAATTTTATTAACAGAAAAATTTCATTAAAAAAACTATGTAAAATTAATTTACTATAAAATTAATAAATACCTTAAAAAATTGTAATGTATTTAGTTGTCTATGACTTTAGTTGAGAAAATAATAATTATGTTTAAAATTAAGTGATGATGATTTATGGTAATTAGTGTTTATATAAATATTTATATAATCTTTTTTTCTCACTTACACTTTTGAACAAATTTTTTAATGACGTTAATTATATATACATGTATTAAACAATTTATATATATATAACTATGCTACAATATTAATTATTATAAATATCAATATTATATATAATAAATATAAATAAATACTAAATATAATCTCAAATACAATTAAAATTCTGCGTTTTTTTTTTAAATACATATTAATATAAAAATATTTTTTTTTTTAATTTTATTTTGTTTTTTATTGAATCTTCTAAACATCAATTTAGAACTAACAATAAATTATCGCTGCTAATTGCTGTATTAGAAGAGAAAAAATAGATAATTAATTGTCTTTAGTCAAAGCTTCGTTTTTATGTCGGGCATTATTTTTGAATAGCCAGGTTTATATAGTTGCTTTTGAGTTGCTGGGTTCCAGTGCTTTGGTTAAGATTGTTTGCAAGTGAGTTTTAGTGGTTCCTGAGTTTGGTTTTGTACTTTTGTGTGTTCCTGACAATTACATCTGTGACCGTAATGTTTCGAAGAACTCTATGAATATTTTTTATATTTTTATATATATGTTATATAAAATTATTATATATTTTATATGTTTATAAAAATATAAAAATGTTAAAACAAACATAAAAACTAAGGCAAGCAGACCTTAAGTAAACATTAAGTTTATGTATATTAATTCCGATTTAAATATGTAAATTTATTTCGCTAATGTCAGCAACTCGGCATGGATTTTCTTTAACTTTTAAAACGCATAAATTTTATGCATAAATGTGAAAAATTGTTTAGGTAAGAAGTACTTGAACTTTAATGCTCTTATTATGGGCTCTCTAACATTTACATGCGCCATTTTATGTGCCATTTTAAGTGCAAGAATAGATACTTCACGGCGGTCCTTTCGAACCAACCCATAAAGCGCAGCCTTAACATTTACGTTTTTCTTTAGAAATTTTTACGTTGCCTGCCTTCCTGCCTTCCTGCGTTCCTGCCTGCCATGGCTTTTGTTCTTGTCGAAGTCTTAGACTGCGTCTACTTCCGTGCAGCTTAAGTCCATAAAATTACTTATAAATCTTATTATGCTTTATTATTTTCTAACGCGCATAGATTTATGGCAGGAAATTAAGGTGCCTGAATTTGCTGCTTTGGCATTGGCTGGCTGACTGGCAGTAGCTGGAAATCGTATGAAAATAACTCATATTCGATGGTGGGTAAGTATAGTGGCTTCCACCTCCTGCCTACCTAGCTACACAGGAAAGAAAAATTAACAGTACCAAGCTAGAGTAGCGTGTTTATTTTATTGCTCGTGATGCATTAAAATTGATCATAAATATTAAAATGATTTGCCTTTATTGTTTGTTAATATTTTTAGAAATTTGTTAGGATATTTTGATTTTATTTTGTTTCGTTATATCGTTTTTTACACTTCATAAATTATAAAGATTGAAAATTTGTTAATTATTGCGGAAGTTTAATGAGAATGTATACTTTACCAGTACATACCCAATTAAAAATAATATCATAAATGGCACCGAAATAGACTCTATCTCAATAACATCAGTTATATTAAACAATATTATATTTTAAGTAATTTGTAATTCTGTGAATTTATTTTTGTAAGGTAGTGCCAGGTAATGGCACCTAAATAGGTGCTGTCTCGACTTAAATGGTTCAATGGTTCAACAATATTATATTCAAAGAAATTTACACTTACTTGTTATTTTATTTTTATTAAAATTATTTTTATACTCACTTATTTCTATATTATTGTGATAATTATAACCACTTTTAGCGTATTTTTCGTTTAGGTGGTTATTTGGACGTTGTCATTTCAATCGCTTACAGCTGTATAACAAATATATAGCAACCTTAACAAAAACGTTTGATGGTTTTTTTTCGTCACCGTTAGGTGACTTTACACCAATCCAAAGGTGTCTCAATACAATCATCCTCCTGCTTGTCAGTGCTGGACATGATCACAATATATGCACCTCTGTCTACTTTTCTTCTAGGAATAATCTGCAAGTGTCTTCCTCAAAAAGAGTTAACTTTTTGAGGTGATGCTTGAAGCTTTCATTATTATTATAATTAATAATTATTATTATTATAGTTAACTAATGATTTCTCTTATCAAGCATACCGTGAAGTTTGAGAGTATGTCGGAACTCAATTCAAAAAATCATTTGGAAGCGCTACCAAGTTCTTGATTGCTAGGTCTTTGAGCAAATCATGATTACTAAATAGTATTTCTCATTTAAGTGTAGCAGTACTGTGTCTGAGATGCAACTGTATATGATATATGCTTCTAAGGTATACCTAGTAGTTTGTATGTACTACTTGACAATGATATTTAAAAAAAAAAGTTGAAAATAAAAGATAATTATGTTTTCATAAACATATATGCCTTACTGTCAATAATTATTTATTAGAAACGCTTGGTAGAATAAAGGTTATAAGTCAAAATTATTCTACTTACGTTATGCCACTTGCCAAAGAACGCGTTAATCTTCGTAGATTAAACATCCATAAACCTTTTAGAATTATTTTTTTTTTTTTTCATAAATTTATTTTATTTTCATAAAATAACTGTTATTCTGGCATTTCTAATAATTTTAACGAAAAAATATAATTCATTAAAAGTTTAAATTTAATTAAAAAAAAAAAAATAACGCAAATACTCGTATTAATTATGGCATATTAATAACTATAACGAACGAATTAATGGTAGTTAGTCAAAATTTGCGTTTCCTTGGACATAACATTTTGAGGACCCAAAATAAAAATATGATTTTCAAGCAATTTCATGTCCACGTTGTAGTTCTTGTTGGGCAAAGTCCACGAGAGTTCTAACTAAAGTTAAGATTTCTAATTGTATATCTCTCATTCGTTCCAAAAGATGCTCTAAAATTTTATTAGATTAATTATTAAAGTATATAAGCATAAATAAAATTAATTGTAAAATAATACAAAAAATAATATAATAAAGTTATAAATAAAGACTTACGCCTATCATCAACTTCATCTTTTTCGGGAACAAGGAAACGTGCCATGTTAAGTCCTGTACAATCGCCCATTTTTTAAACTATAATCTACGTTTATATCTGTAATATGTTAAAAAATATTTGTTTTAATCGAATAAAACATTTATTTGTGATTGATAATGTCAAATATATTTTCTTATGAATCATATACACTAACAATCATCCTATAAGGTTGTCAAGCTTAAAATTTTATTATATTCATATTTACATTATGATATATATACTTATATGTCGTGATTATGATTTTCGTGTTTAAAGATTTGATGATGAATTTTGCTAAAATGAACTATTTTGAACAATTTTTCCACTGAACTATGTATTCTGGGTAGTAGGAAACTTAGGTTGGGGACTAAAATGTAAATGTACATATATATGTATATCCTCCAAAAAAAAATTGTGTTTTATTTAGTAATTAATTTATTGGTATATATAATGGCAACCTTTGATATGAAACCAGGTTCTAGAAACAATACTTAATATTTTTTGCACTATTTTGTTTGCAGATCCTTTTTAAAAAGTAATGTTACCGATGTTTATTAGATGCAACAATATCTCAGAAATAAAAAGGCTAATGACAAATTTTTATTCCAAGGGACGCAATAAAGCAGCAAGTGATTCTTAACCTAAAATTTGTCGTAAATATTTAACAAAAATAAAAATTTCTACCACATTTACTTCATTCACTATATATATTATATATAATCGAAATGATTCTAGTACCCGGCTTTTGTAGCTTGTTTATCTGCAGATCCCTATTAGGTAGTAATACTACTTTTGTCAGATGCAATAATATCTATACAAAATAACAAAATAGGGAAGTTATAAATATTTAAGTTCATAGTTTTTTGCTATTAGAAACTCTTTTATAATTAACTAAAATACTTTCATATTATTATATACACACATAAATATATCTAAAAAATATTTTTATTTGAATTTTATTCTAAATTTGAATCTCTATATTTTTTTTAATATCACAGAATTATTTATACATAATTTTAAAAACTCTTATGATGTTTTTATTGTATTATTTTACTGCAGTATTATCATCTTTTCCCTTATTCTCAATTATGAGCCTTATAAGTTGGCGTCTTAAATGTGGATAATTAGAATTTGTTTCTTCTGCATTTTTAATAACTGTTCCCGATTTTATCATTATCTTCAATTGGCTTCCTAGAAAAAGGGAGGTAACAAATTTTAAAATGTGGTTTCATATATGAGTCGATGTAAATACCTGCAGTATTTTGTTGTTCTGACGCTTGATATTTAAAGTCTTTCTGCATTTTGCTTATTAAAATTTATATATTATATATAATATCAGTTTATATTATATGACGCTTTGAACTTTTTTAAACATATTATACCTCAATGCGTTCGGAAAGAATTTGTTAGACAACTTCTTTGTTAGTTGTATGATTTACACAAAGCGGTACATCTTAAGATTATTTACTACATTGGTTTGGGATTATGGATATGAGGTATTATTTGTAGTTAAAAACAATTTATAGATTTTTTGTCAAAAATTTTTTTGAAAAATCCGTATTATAGCAGGAAGAAATCAATATAAATTTAATTTTGGATGAAAATATTGTTAAGTTATTATATACATTATATGCATATTTTATATATATTATATACACAGATTATTTAAAGTTATGTTTTTGATACATTTTAAAATGTGTTTAAATTTAAAAAGCTTCA